AGAAGCTTTTTCGTGACTTCATTCAGCCCATGACTGTGGTGTAATTATGTCTCCTCATCTGCGTGTTCTGTTTTATTTTAGTCATTCTTCTGATCCCTGGATGATCTCCGACATGTTGTTTGTTAACATTAATTGATGTGGGGCATCCACTAAGTACTGTCAGTTTTTCATCCGACTGGCATTAGCTTCTGAACATGGTTCCACGTAATTTGCGCAGTTACGTGCTGACTGGTTAGTGCATCCAGTCTGCTTAAGGTGGGGGGGTAGTATCACAATCAGATGGAAGTTGAAGGGATCAAATGCTCTTTTTTTATCCTCCCCGCCCCCCCCTTCAGTAGCACTCTGTATAATTTGATGACTTGATCTGTATCCTGTAGTTCAAGTAAAAGTTGTAATCTTTCTTTATGGTGCTCATTACAACACACAGGGCATAATGTCAGTTGGAGCATTGTTCTAGGAAATAGGAGCGTGGGGACATTTCTCAGCTTAGTTTGAACAAGCACCCATGACTTAAGTGTGATTTATATAAGCAGCTTATGCTAGTGGAATGAGTATAACTCAAACATTGTTTTAAAAGGATTATTAAATTACATATTGTTGAAGTACAAGTTTCAAATGGTGGTGCTTGGTTTTCTTGGGCAGTGCGATCAAATCCCTGTCTGAATTCCTTGGAAAAATAAATTGTCTTTTTACAGTGGTACATGGAGTTACAATAACTGTCATTTGTGAGCAATTTAAGATTTATCTTCATTTGAACATGCAAATAAATGAATAAGCAAATAGCAAAACAGCCAAAATTATTTTTGTGTGTATCAGGAGGCCTTATACTTGTGCTGTCTGGATAGCACAATTTGAGGAACAAATGAAAGGGGCAAAGAGGTTTCATGCATTCCAGTGATGTATCTGTGGTTGTCCGTGGTTGTCCATGGTCCGGTATACTAATTACCCTCCTTTTCTTTGCCAGTCTGTTCTCCAGTGGCATCTATTTTCAAGGAGTTTAGCTGCTGACTCTTTGGCATGCTCCATTCATTATTTCAGTTTTGTTTCTAATGCTGCAGTCCTTTGAATTTTGGCACTCTTGTGTTTCATCCAAGATCTAGTTACTTGTGTTGATTTTTGTAGGCCCAGTACAGTATTACTTTTCTGTCTGCAAATTGCTACTTGATTTTTTTTTTTTGTGCACTTGCTATAGAGGCTGTCTTCAGTTTGATCTCCACAAAATCACCGTGTCAGAGGTCATGGTTTAGATGTACTCATAGATGCATAGATGGGTCCCCTGAATATATATATTTACTTGTAGGTTTTACATGTAGGGGTCTGTTTTCACTTTTAAGTTTTGTTCAGAAGCCTCTCTTCTTCAGAGCCAAAATCCAGGAACTGACTGCTGAAAGCTCTTTTGTTTTAGGAGTATGTGGTATACATTTGCCACTAAACTTCATGATAAAGTGCATTTTCTCTTACTTTGGCATTAATAAGTGTAGGAAGAATGTCTTCTTTAGTATGTATGTGCATCATTCAAACAGCCCAAAAGCTGAGCATTTCAGAGTGGACAACTGGTTCCGTCTCCCTCTACAAGACTGCAGTTTTCTAACATGACTGCAGAAATGTGTGGCTGGGTTAAGCAGCGCAATGGGGAGGGGTAGTAAAATTATTTGAGAAGAAGGGTCATAAGATGAGGACTCCTGTTTAGGAAGATGACTAAAGAAATATGGGAGAGGGGAATCTGTTGCTTTACTGCACATCGTGCAGGCAAACTGTTCTGGGTCTGACTTCTCTCTTTCATGTTATTACATAAAGTCATGCTGTAACTTAGGCGCTGGCACTGCTGTTAGTCTGATTTGCATACAGTTATATGCGTAACTAAAGGTGTTGTTTCAACTAAATCAGTACAGTGCACAAACCACCTCCTGAAAGAACGAGAAACACACCACCGATTTAGGTAGAGACTGATGGGTGAAAGATGTTTCTGTAGATACGTACTCCAAGTACTCCAAAGCAGCCTAAAAGGTATCATTAGCAGGAAGGAGGCAGCACTTTCTAATGTCTTAAGGTGGCATGTTTTGGTTTGTGGGGTTTTTTTGGGGGGTGGGGTGTGTTTGGGTTGTTTGTTGTGGTGCTTTTTTGTTTGTTTGTTTTAACCAAGACTCTTTAAATTCCTCAGACTTTAGCCACACATGAGGGTATGGGGGGGGAGAAGTAGTAGGTAGCCTTCCAATTAATAAGAATTCACAGATTGGTCATATTAAACTCACATTTTTCTGAACAAGAATTGAAGTTCTGGTAAAACTAAAGGCTTGACATATTCATCATGTCCCAGAGTAAGCTATACTTTCTCTTCAGGTACATATGAGGGTTTTGAAAACCTCACCTTACTCTCCTACAGGTTTAGACCTGTGTTCTGGTGGAAGTATGGTCAGCTAGAGTGTTTGCAGAGAAGACAGCTGCAGTCTGTTATTGCTGTTTTCAGAAGTTGAATACTTTATGGGCTGTGAATAATTTCCTAAGTAGAAGTTACATGACAACATTGTGGTTATCCTTCTGTCTGGTTGTATGGGCATCTGTGGTGGGTCATTTGTGCCCTGGAAGGGTGTCAACATCTCACCAACAAGGTTTAATTTAGAATAGCAACCACTTTCAGTTTACCTTCTGGGGTGGGATAAAGCAACTTGATTTTAAATGGAGAGTGGATTTCTTAACTTTTGAAGTGTGCCAGCAGTTCTGTGTGAGTTGCTGCAACTGCTTATGACCCGACTATGTATTTTTAATTGTGGTTTACATGACAAACTACTGAGAGGGACAGATAGCTTCGAAAGCACAACTCTGAATATTACGTATTTAGTGATGTGATAAATGAGAAAGAAAACTGCCTTTTTTTTAGTCCAAATTTGTCAGTGCTTGTGGTCAGTTTAATTATCTTGTTATTAATGCGGTTCTATTTTGTTTTAAACACAATAATGTAAAATGCTTCACAAAAATGTGGTGATTGCCAGGGCAGATCCTGCTTTTTGAGCTCTAAATTAAGGAGAAAAAATTGAGTATCTGCATTCTATTTTATGGTCTCTTTGACAATAAGAAGGTGTTGGGTGTTAGTTTAAATTCTGCTGCTGTCATGGAATGAATAAAAAGTCTATTATTCTGTAGAATAATTCCCCATTTGACTTCTGGCAGCATTCTGTAATTATTTTGATCACTCTGACTTCACTAGAGTTGCATGTGAAGATAAAAAAGTCTTAAGTCATATTTTTTTCCTAGCAACTGCAGTAATGTGAACCTTGTGCATGTGCTTAGGATCCACGACCAGCGAACACTATATTTTGTTGGCTAATTACAGTTTGTGTGGGCATCGGTGTTATGTGTTTGCTTGAGAAGACGGAACTTAAGAGCAGGGGTTGGGGGTGAGAGGTAGCAGAGGTGTACTGCTGCTGACATCTCTCTGTACAGCTGAAATATGTGTGGCTTTGTTTTTGCTAACAAAGCATGTGAGCCAAAGAGTGTATATCCAGTCCCTATGCCTCACACTTGAATCATTTCTGTGGTGAGATCAAATATAAACATTTCTTGACTGTTTATTCTAACACAGATTTTTCTTTTTTTGAAAGGTTGATAGTGGCTGGAAGATGTAAATGCTTTTTTGGATATACAGTGTCATAGCTGGAGCTGTATTGCAGTAAAAGCATGTTATCAAAAAGCAGTGTTATCACTTAGAAAACTGATAAATGTGTTTCACATTGAAGTTAAAACCTTCTAAAATTCCTAGTATTTTTTGTGCTAGAGCAGCTGATTAGTTGGGGCCTCAGGTAAAATCTCTTTCAGAGACTCTTCTTAACATTTAATTTTTGTCCACTGTCTTCAAATAGAAAAGCTCACAATCTTGTTCCATTCCCTTGTATTGTGTAACAGTGATTTGCACACTCTTTGCTTCCCAGGGCCAAATTTGCAAGTATGTAAAATGTGTGACCTAGTTTGTATGATTTTTTTAATAATGAATGCACAAATAAACTGATGTGGATTAGAAGGGTGGGTTGGATGGTTAGGGTGTGAAAGCCATGAAGATAAACCAATCAGTTTACGCTACCTGCAAATAATAATTCTTATTCTCTTAAGCATGAATATTTGCTGCATCATATCCCAGTGAAGGGAGGTGGAGGAGGATGGGGTGTGTAACATTTTGGTCTGACTTGAATAAAGAAGCATGAATTTACAACACATGTGATTTTATTTCCAAATGGATTTCCATGGACTTGTCAGGGGCAGTGAAGTTTGAATACATCAAGGGTTTAGGTAAATCTGCAGCACAGACATCTGAGAAGCTTGCTGTGTAATTTAACTGAAAATCTAAGGATGAGCTTTCACAAGATGGCTGAGACAAACTAATGGCTTGCTGATGCCTAAAGGGACAGCTGCTGTGTTCCGAGTCCTGCTTCTAGTTATCCAGTGTTGCCTCTTCCTTTATGTAGACTCTGGCATCATTTTGATGATTCAGATCATTTTATGTGTTAAAAAAAAAAAAAAACGCCAATGAAGAAACCCCCAAACCTAATCAATTTGCTTTTGTTTCCACATCTCCATTGGAGAAGTGGAGTGTCAGCCAGGACTTTATGGCCAGCAGGCAGGAATCTAGGGAGTGCCACTGTCCTGGACTCGTTGAACTTTTCATTGGCTCGGTAATCACAGCTATTCAGATGTGTGCCAGTTAATAAGTCCTCTTTCAAACTGATTTCATACATACTTAGGCAAGAGGCGTTTGTCAGAGCCATGAACGATAGTGGAATGTGAGTTTTTCAAGTAAAACAGCTGAAAATACTTTTAAAATATCAAAAGTGCAGTTCAGCTAGTAGCAGTGTCCTTGTTTAAACTGGATGAAAACAATGCAAATTTTACTTGAGACACAGAAAAGTCACCTTTTATATGTGTATTTTTGGCATCTTAGCATTAGTTGGGCTATTATTTAATAGTTTCCAATAGAATGTTTAAAAAAGTTTTTTTTTTTTTCTTTTTAGAACTGAAGGAAGGCCATCATGGGAGCATTTTTAGACAAGCCAAAGATGGAGAAGCATAATGCCCAGGGACAAGGGAATGGGCTTCGTTACGGTCTAAGTAGTATGCAAGGCTGGCGAGTTGAAATGGAGGATGCACATACAGCTGTGATTGGTTTGCCAAATGGACTTGATGGATGGTCATTTTTTGCTGTATATGATGGGCACGCTGGATCACAGGTTGCCAAGTACTGCTGTGAGCATTTATTAGATCACATCACAAGCAACCAGGATTTTAAAGGGCCAGATGGGCCTCCATCTGTGGAAAGTGTAAAGAGCGGCATCAGAACAGGTTTTCTGCAAATTGATGAACACATGAGAGTCATCTCTGAGAAGAAACATGGTGCAGACAGAAGTGGGTCAACAGCTGTGGGTGTCATGATTTCTCCCCAACATACATACTTCATCAACTGTGGAGACTCGAGAGGTTTACTCTGTAGAAACAGGAAGGTTCACTTCTTCACGCAGGATCACAAACCAAGTAATCCACTGGAGAAAGAGCGTATACAGAATGCAGGTGGCTCTGTAATGATTCAGCGTGTGAACGGCTCTCTTGCAGTTTCAAGGGCACTTGGGGACTTTGATTACAAGTGTGTCCATGGGAAAGGTCCTACAGAACAGCTAGTCTCACCTGAGCCTGAAGTTTATGAAATTGAGAGATCAGAAGAAGATGATCAGTTCATCATACTGGCTTGCGACGGTATCTGGGATGTTATGGGAAATGAAGAGCTGTGTGACTTTGTAAGATCCAGACTTGAAGTCACTGATGACCTTGAGAAAGTTTGCAATGAGATAGTTGACACCTGCTTGTACAAGGTAGCCAGACTTGAGAGAAGAAGTTTACTGTGTTTTCACTATTAGAAGTTTATGAACAAGTTCAGAATAAGTGTGGAGTCCACTCTATAAGTATCCGATGGTTTATGTTAACATGACTTTGATGGTAATTACCATGATTCCCACAAAAATGGTGACAGAGAAGAATGACAGAAACAGTACAGCTTTCTGGGTGGTTTTGCTTAATGAGTTTAAAATCACGTGCAGTTACATTGTGATCGCTGGGAAACTAAAAGCTGATAAGAATTTACGGGCAAGCCCAAGGACAATAAGTGCTCTTTTTTGTTTCACAGCATACCTTAAGGTTAATTCTTAAGACTTAAGCAGGCTAGAGAATATTCTTTCCCTTCCTAATCTTCCCTTCCTTTCTTGGGCATATAGTAGTAACATTACTGTCATAACTACAGCAATATAAATGCAGAATGAATGAACCGTGACTTCACATTTTGCAGTTTAAAATTTTTTCTTGACTATATGAAGATCTGACTTCCTAAGTTAGTTTTTATTCTAATTTTATGACTATATTTTTTTATTCAGCTTCATGTGGTACAACTCTGAAACTAGCTCAGGTAGAAGATGTTGGAAAGGTTTTATTTAACACATCTGTGTAATTTTGTCTAACTTATACTTTGTATTAGTAAGTTGCAGGATGGTGCAGTTACAGAGTTTCATAGCTTGACATCTGATTTTCCAAAGGAAAGCTTTCTGTAAGAGCAAGTAGTGAAGGAAAAAGGATAATAGCCCTAAACTGAAAGGGAATAGATTTAGATACTAGGAAGAAATTCTTCCCTGTAATGGTAGTGAGGCACTCGCACAGGTTGCCCAGCGTAGCTGTGGCTGCCACATTCTTGGCAGTGTTTGAGGCCAGGTTGGACTGGGCTTGGAGCAGCCTGATCTAGTGGAAGGTATCCCTGCCCATGGCAGTGGGTTGGAACTACCTGATCTTTAAGGTCCCTTCCAACCCAAGCCAGTATGTGCTCTATGAAAAAAGCCAACATTTTTGATACTAGAGAGACAAGACAGCATCTCCGTTCTTGCAACATGGCTAAGAGGGTCATTGTTTGCCTTTTGGAAAAACGTTATTGTTTTCTAGCACTTTGGCAGATTGATAATACATATATTTTTGTTTACAATTTTCATCTGGTAATCCCAAAAACAAATAACCTGGGAAGGAGCAGTGGCTTATGGATGTTGTAAGCTTTGCAGTAGCCAACTGTCAGTACCTCTCCATGCGCTCATATACACTTGTTTTGAACACTGGCTTGTTCTTGCTTACCTCAGCGGATTTAATTGGTGTTAAAAGTTAAGCATATGGATGCATGCGTGTAGATGAGAGCACAGGGATATTGAAAGCAAACTGTTACTTTTCATAAGCAAAATGTGTTTGTATTTTAACATATTCAAGTATTAGTATTCTGTTTACTTGGAGTTTTAAATGTTTTCATTTCAATGAATGGTTTTGTAAAGGCCTGGGCCCTTTCCAGCTGGTCTTTTAACAGATTCTCTCCCTTGTAACTTTTTTGTTTTAAATGAGAAGGGAGGAAAAAAGAGGTGAAAAAAACCCAAACAAAATAATAGCTGTGGTTTTAGGTGGAAGCACTGTCTCAATTCAGCACTTCTGTATTTAGAACTTTTAAGTGATAATGGTTTTGTTTACCCATCTGATATTCAGCTGTTTTCCGAAAAGGATTGGATAGTACTTAAATTAAGATGGAACACAACTTTGTATTTATACAGCACTCCTTAGTAATGTCTGTTTTTCAGAGACAATGGTGCTGTGTGTCATTGGCCTCATGTAGTCTTCAGACCATAAAAGATCAAAGAACAAAGTGGCTTAAATTGTGCTGAAGAAGTGGGCAGACTTCTGGAGTTTTTTTAGGTGGTAGGAGGAAATTAAGGAGAATGATAATATTAATCCATAGTAGTAAAAGTTGTATTCTAATACCTTATGACTTGTGAATTTTTGTGTGTAAAATGCTTTGATATGTATTTAGCCTGGCGTGTATACGTTCTCAAATAATTTTTTCTTTTCCACCAGGGAAGTCGAGACAACATGAGTGTGATATTGATCTGTTTTCCGAATGCACCAAAGGTATCACCAGAGGCGGTGAAAAGAGAGGCAGAGTTGGACAAGTACCTGGAAAGCAGAGTAGAAGGTGGATCATTTAAAAAAAAATAAGTAACTTTGTTTCTAAACAGACCCCCTGGCCCCTTTCCCCTTCCAACAACTAAACTTTTAACACATTCAAGCTTTTTAGTAGACCTTCAAGTGCCATTGGCCATCTAGTGTGCATCCCTGAAAAAGGCACTCAGTCCTGCTGTATGTCCTGAAAAAATCTGCTATGCAAGCGCAGCAGCCTGTGGTTCTGAAAGTTACTCAGAACAGCAGAGAAATAATGCATTTGTGCTCTGTGTTCTTCATGAGGCAATTGACAGCACTAACTTCTGACCAGTAAATCTTGGTTCCTTTTAAATGAGTTAAATTAAATAATCAGAATATCTTGCAAAGTGTGAAGATGGTAATTTCAGTGCCATTTTTCTGGATAGTTATGAACAAATCAGTTAGTCATAATATTATCCAGTTACGGTAGGGTTACAGTTTGATTGCTGTCATCTTTAAGACACCTGCTAACATACTCATTTATTTGAAAGTACGTCAGAAATCTGTCAAAGCTAATCTTTAAGCATTCATGATGAACAAAAGCTGGGAGCTCATCTTATGCTGGCAGTAACTGCAGAATTTTGCTTCAGATTTGTATTGCAGGAATTCTTAAGCTTTAAACTGAAACTGCAAGTCTTAACAAATTTTGGGTGACCTAACTGAAAATGATATTTGAAATCAATTTGATTTAAAAGATTTCTCATTATCTTTGTATTTATAGTGCCTTTTGATATCTAAAACAACCACAGCTTGGAGTTTGTTTCTGAAACATAAGACAAGCTGTATGCATTATTTACATAGGTTAAGTGTATTTTTGATGTGGACTCCTCTAGACCCATATGTTACAAGTCTAGTTATGTGTATTTACTGCACAAGTCCTTAATAACACACAGGGCACAATACACAGAGTTCTTCACAACTATGGTATTGGTGATTAGTAGGCCAGAGGAATTTATTGTGCACTTTTTTCCCCTCCTTAACTTCCATGAAGATGACAGTGCAGCTTCAGAAATTTCACAGAGAACTTGCCTGCATGGGAGTTCTGGGTTCAGGTAAATCAATGTGCAGTTTTAAAGCACTTTCTACCTGTGTAGGTGTTCCTTCAGAAAGTACCACCTTTTTTAAAGGCTTCATTCGCCATGTCTTGGCAAACTACATCTGTTCTGCCCCTGAACAAAGGTCTAGAAAGATGCTTCTGTGTCTTAAGCTTCTGTGTCACTTCCCTAATAGGAGAAGTTGGTGCACAGTAAGCAATAGTGTGAATCTTTGACAGCGTAGCAGGAATATCCAAGGGCATGGTAACACTGCTTGAGTTCAGTGTCAGATGGCTTTCTCCATTTCAAAGCAGTGAGCAGTTTTGCACCAGGCATTTGAAGAGCTGTGTGCCCACCCACAGAATTTGTGAAGAGCAAGTGTGCTGTAAAGTCACACATTAATTCACAGCATGCTAACTCTCCTCATTTGGGCAAGTATTACCTTTGTATCTTAGATATTTTGTCTGAATTCAGACAAACCCATGACCTACAATATGAAAACACATTCAAGGCTGCATCTTCAGCTGGCCTTATTGTGCCTGAGGAATATATGATGAGGAAAGCTGACATTTTTGTACGCACACTTCAATTTGTACATGAAGAGCCTAAACACTGGAACTGTACAATGAATTTGGCTGCCAGTACTTTGCATTTATACAAAACAGAATTTCAAGAATGAGCAAAGTTTGGTACATGTGTAGAGGCAGAAGGATTCTGTAAAGCACTTTAATACTAATTTATAGGGATGATGTCTGAAGAGTTTGAGGGAATATATTGTACTTCCCCAAAAGGGTTTTTAGAGTTATCCTCAATCTCTTATCTATTCTTGCACAAAGATATTATTTAAATTAATATGTTTTAAACACTATTCAGTCCATCAGTGATTTATGTCAGCTGAATGGAGAATTTGGCCTTTTAGGTCTTACTCATGAGGGAATTTGAGAGCCTGAAATAAGGCAGAACTTAAAGACCAGGAATTGATTAACCTTGTTACATTGAACTTAGTAATTCTTAGTAGTTAATTGTTTCCTGGTGTAAGTGGATAGTGCAGTATGGCTAGTGAGGTAGGGCTGCTACAGCATCTGAAGCTTTCAACACTACAATGAACAATCTTGCTGTTATCCTAGGATACTTTAAGAATGGCAGTTCTTAACTTTAAAAGCATAATCTACAGCTGAAGGAACTAGAAAATATAAAGAGTACTTTTATAAAGATCTCACTGATCTGTAACTTCACCAAGTTTCTGTTTCAACTTTAAACTGAAAATGCATATCATGTATTTTTATGCATTTCACTACTCAGTGTAGTCCAACAAGTGATGAGATTTGATGCTTACTAATGTGCTTTTTTTTTTTTTTTTCCTGGCTGTTCTTTTATTCCCTCAACCTAAAATATAACTTGATACTTTTAAGAAGCAGTGCAAATTTTAAGACTGAATGGGGTTTAGTACTGGTGGTCATCTTGAATAAAGAGAGGCGATTCAGGCTTAGAAATGTAGAAAGTTTTCTACTTAACCATCACACCTAGGACTCTCCTTTTACTAATTCTGATGTGTTTGTGGTCCGGATTCATAGTTGCAATAAATAATAATGGAAGAAGCAGCAAGTGTGGAGAAGCATCTTTGTACCATTACTTGCAATAAATCAGTGTTACTTCTAAAGTATCGTGTGAATTTCATGGTAGAAGTAATCAGTCATTCCAAAATGTGTTGCTATTATTTGCACTAATATGTGTTATTGATGTGTGGACTCTAAAAAGAAAGTTGTCTAAGCTTTTTTTTTCTATTATTTTTTTTTTACATAAAAACATTCCATAATACATAATCCTTGCAATATTTATACCTACAGAGAGAAATAATTTTAAGTAAGCCATTATATGTTCCTTCTCATATTTTTTCACAAAATCAAAGCTCTGGCTTTTCCTTAAACTTTGTGTAGGATTCCCATATAGAATATCAAAAAGCTGATATGTTTTGAATCTTTTATTTTAGGGTTGTAAGTACATTTTTCCAGCACTTGATGCCATGAAAATGTGTAGAAGATTTGAAAGTAAATTAAAGCCTGGGGGGAGGGTTACAAGGTGTATTAAAAGAAGATAATTCCAATAAATTCAACACAGCTAGCAGACCGACTCCATTTGTTGTGTCTTCAGTGTTCATTCAGTCTGTATCTGTAGTTTTATCAAAATATAAATGTATTCATTTAGTGGAGACTGTATGTTAAATGTACTGCAGTTACAGGTTGTGAAACTGTGTAGTATAGGTAAACTATAAATTCCTTATTTTTGTACAGCAGAACTTTAGCACTAGTACAATGTAGAATATATTAGATGTTCAAAATTGCACAATAAAGGAACTTGGCAAACCAAATCTGAGATCTTTGCTTTTTATTGAGATTTAAGAGTGTTAGTTTGTTTACTGAATACTAGATGGTAAAACAAATTTTGGCTATAGATGTTGAGGAAATGGCAAATTTTTGAGGTGTCTATGGTGTGTGGTGTCATTTATATAAAAAGTAGGTTTGGAAGTAAATATCTTAAAGCTTTTTGTTTGCGGAGTTTGACACTTGTGGAGGCCTAGACGGTGCTTCCACTGTACCTGGCAAATAATTTACACAGTCTGACTGCAAAATACAGCTGATGCTTTTTAAAACACAGCCCTGAAAAACTTACATGTACAGAAAGTAAGTCACAATTGTTGTGGGTTGATTTTTTGGTTTTGTTTTTTTGGTTTTGTTTTTTTTTTTTTTTTAACAAAAAAGGACTGGGTACATGTTGGTTTTTAAAGCTTTTAATGTGCCTTATCTCACAAATCAAATTATTAAAATAAAAACTCTGTATGCTTTTCTGGAATTATCATTTAGGGAAAAAACCTGAATGTTATTCTTCAAAAATGGTGCTGATGAATTCCAGCTACTCTTCAAGCTCCATAAATACTTTATTACATGAAGAATAGTGTGCATCTACATATATGTATGTATGTGTGCATGTATGTGCACATTATGGTGTGTGCTGCAGTATTCCCTTGAAGATCAAAAGTGCCAAATCTTAAAAATTCATCTGTCTTGCAGTTTCTAAGAGCTCACGTTTACAGAGAAACCAATGTTCCTCAAATTTCATAAAATCCCTATTTAAAGTGTAAGTCCTCAGAGGTGGTATGGTCTCTTGAGTTCAAATAAAATTGTGTGCTTACCAAAAAAGAAGGCTAAAAATAAAGACTAAATTTCTTAGCAAATGTGACTGTGGGTACAGTACAGATTCTCTTCACCCAAAAGTTGGAGTGGATCAGGTTTTAACAACTGCCCAATGTTCACATATCCCTGAAGTGAGTTGAGGACAGAATTGTCCCTTAGATGTGATGTCCCGGCTTTTAACTTGTATGTAATAGTTCTTAAATTAGCTTGTTGCTGTAATGCAGTGAGGTATGAGTATTGGCTAACACACATGTGGTCATGGGAGTTATTTTTGTCTTAACTTTTCGGTTTTTGAAAGTGCTATGCTTTGTAAGATGGTGATAGTCTTTTACCTTCTGTTGCGGTGATAAAGCGCAGGGTATTCTGCTGGGAAGATACTGCATCTTCTGTTATATCTAATGTATAGCAGAAAAGCCATTAAAGATTTTTTTTCCCTGCTTTTATTAGGTAGCTATGTACTTCTAAAACCAGTGTGCATGTTAACAATTAGGAATGTATGTCAAATCTGTTACAGGTTCTTTTTCTTACCAAACCAAAGTTAACAATTACCATGTTGAATATAGTCTGTCATATTTTTTTAATATATGTATATATGTTTACTAAAGTTAAGCTGCCTTTTTATAAAACTGAGTGTTTCAATCTTTTTAAGTTAAATTTGGACTGCACTTACAAAAAAAGTACTTCTGATTCCCAGAGATCATAAAGAAGCAGGGTGAAGGAGTCCCAGACTTAGTCCACGTGATGCGTACATTAGCCACTGAGAGCATCCCAAACCTCCCGCCAGGGGGTGAATTGGCAAGCAAGTGAGTTCACATCGGTGTAAATGTGGTTTTTCATTTAAATCAAAACTTAACTGCAAGGCCACTCTTAAAAGCGGGGGGGAGGAGAAAATGGGTAGAGGACAAAAGGTTATGATCTATTCTTCAATTTGTGTTACTCAGTTTTTCTGAATGGACAGGACAAGCATAAGAACAGAGTTAACTGAATCGCTACTAAAATTAAATGTCAAACTGTTGCTTTGGGAAGGACCAAGGGGTTTTTTAAGGGTGGCCTGAGTGTGTCTGTTTTCTGTAATTAACTGGGTTTTTTGGGTGGGAGGTTACATTTGAAGGTGCAGATATAATTCACTGACATAATAGCTCCTTGAGTATGTAGTTCCACACTTTGACAAGAAGTGACATGCGTATAATGTTTTGCTTGGCAGCTTTCTTTTCTTGTCTGTAGCTAAAGCAATGTTGTACTTGCCTGAAGTTTGCTTTTGTATCTCTCTGCTGTGACAAATCTGAAAACTAGATAGAAGTCTATGAAAAAAGTTGGAAGCTAAATTTACACCCTTATATGGGCTGGCTTTGTCCTTAAGATGTTCAGCATTGATGCTTTGTGGCTTCTCAAATAGATGTTCAGTCTTTAAGGAAACAATGCGCTTAGCTCATTTGCACACCCAGGCCAAGTGCTTTTTGGTTCAAAAGATTTTTTGTGAACCTGTGCTGTGTTAAAATGGATTGGGCACATATGTTACAGACTTATTTTTAATCCTTCAGAATATGATTTTTGTATTGTTAACACAAAAACCATGAAGACTAGGTATGTAATTGAATAAATAACTGTAAAATGACTTCTACAGAATAAAATTGTTCTTGTATGAATTGACTGACCAGGAAGAGATGTCAATTTTGTGTATAATAGCATCTATTTAGGATGTGTTGCTGTAGTCTTGAGCTATTGATGAGTCATTTACTCATGAAGTATGGCATACAAATTGATTTTTCTCAGTCTCCTCTGGCTAGCACTAGTATTATGTTTGTGAGGTGGTGCTGAAGTGACTGATTTCCATTGGATTTTGTGTCTTAGAGATGCTAGTTTAAATAGGGATTGATGGACGTGTAGATTTAATTGGATGTTAGTGTAGCTCAAAGCACTACTGTCAATTTGGAAGAAAAATAATGCTTTTCAAGAAACCTTTTATTTGTAATCAAAGATACATATTGCTTGAAAAATAAGGGAAACTTTCAAGTTTATGTGCAGTGTACTTTGTGTGTAATTGCTTGGTTTTATTGCTTTAAATTCAGTCTCTTCTTCCATGCCATATAATCATTTGCTAGATGCACTGTGATGTTTCTACTGCTGCATGGTAGTTCCTGACATTTTAGTGTTATGAGATTATTATAAAGCCTGTCATCTGCTTTTTTTTCTTCTGCTGCACTCCTTTGTGATTGCACTGCATGCATTCATGAGCAGTTAAAAGGTTGTTCTTTGAAGCTGGTTTTGTATCACGGTTGTAGTCTGGTACTGCCTCATATTTGGTTCTGCAGAAAGGGATTTGGAAGAAAGTTGCTTTTAAATTCCAATCTGTAATTCCTGTGTTTTACTCCCCTCTTTCCTTCCTACTCCCCTTTTTATTCCTTGCTCCCTCTCCAAGGTTGTTTCCTTATTACCTTGGTAAGGCAAAGGCTTCCTCTTCCTTCAGCCTCACATTGTTGGGGTTTTGAGTGTCAGTTTTAAAGAAAACCTTTGCACCATGTGTCACAAACAAAGCAAAAACGAATGAAGTGTTTCTTGTTTACGTGTTAAGTGCATTTTTCTATGAATATTTTCTCAGTCTTTTTCCTGTCAATATATCTGTCAATATTAGAAAAGAATCCCAGAGATAAAAGTTAATTCCAGGCTACCTTAAATATGCTAAGCAAATTTTTTTTAAAGGACGAAGCTGACAAAATTCCTGAATTTTTTAAGTGTATTTTTTACCAGACGGAATTCTGTTAAGACTGAAGATACAATACATAGAACTGCTGTTTGCATTTTACATTTTTTTGAGAAATGTGGCAGGAGAGTATTGGACATACTGCTTCATGGAAAGCACTGTGATATGAACAAAAATGTATTTCAGAATGCAATTTTTGTGCATCCAGAAAATAAAAAACCTTACTATTTATTAAAGTGCCATAATATATTAAGTACTACTGCAGTGTTCATCAGACACACAAGTGACGAGGGTATTCAATGTCCATCAAGTTTTCTGATGCCCTTTCTCAAAAGTCAGGAAGTGTAGCATCAGGCAGCACTGCAGCCTCACCTGGATGTCAGATTGTGCTCTTCTCCTGCTGAATTTTGAGTGGTATTCAGCCTTATTTTTCTTGAACCTAAAGCTTTTAAAGGATGCCATAACTGTCTCCAGTGTTTAATGACACTAAGGGCTAACTTGCAGTGAACTTGGTTATGTGAATTTAAAACATTCTAAAGTTTACATTTTAAGCAAAAATTGTACTTAGGGAATTTGATGTAAAAAAAATGGCACCACCTTAAAATCTTGTGGGTTTGTTTTTTGCTCTAGACGGAGTGTGATTGAAGCCGTTTATAATAGACTGAACCCCTACAGGAATGATGATACTGTAAGTATCCTTTCTCTTACATTACCTTCACCACACACACAATTATTTTAGCTGTTTTGTAAAGAAACATATTGCTAGTTACTGCTTCCCCCAAAGAAGCAGTAGCAGTGTTGTACTCTTTGGACTATATTTTTTAGTTGTTTTCTCCTGCCTTCTGCTGATCATAGTCTGAAACCCCCAATATGGTTGATTCATTTGTTCTCTGGAATTTCGTTGTCTTCTGTCTGGGTTTCCAAATGCTTTCCTGCCAAATGGTGCAGTCATGTATGGGGTTTTCTTCCTTCTTAAGGGAGACATTTTCCCCCAAATACCAATAATAAAATGGCTTTACTTGTAGGTTAAGCGAATTTGTAACTATCACCTTTAAAGATATACTAATTTTCCAAGTGGACTGCATAAGTGCTTTTATTCTTAAGCATAGAGCAACTTGCAACAAGCATACAGTTTAGGTTCTTTCCTGTCAGTGGCAGAAGTGACAAATATCGACAAACTAAAATACAAACAGTGATCATATGTTTGCAGTTAGATCACTGGAAACAATATTCTGTCACAAAAAGTGCTGTTTTTCATAAAACAATTAAATAGTTCTCTTACCTACCAGCAAAAATTATTACATGCTTAGATGTGACGTAAGTGAAATGCATCCAGACATAATGAATTGTATGTTGGCTTTACAACAGGGCACTAGTTTATTTGGCAGTTCTCATTATCTCTTTAGCATAAATAATCCTAAATAGTGGCTGAAAGATGCTTTACCTTCAAAATACATTCTGTAGTATGTTACTGTTCTGTAAATGTACAGTATACAAACTACTAGTTTTGTGATGATATTGGCAACTTGGATACAGAAATTTGCATACTGAATAGTTGGCATGCAGCTCCCGAGTTTTTACTTGCTACTGCTTTTGTTCTTCATCTTACACCTGAAACAAACATAACCATTTTGGTCTTTCATATAATTGCTCTCCTTTGCCAATTCTGGTCCAGAAGAAAAAGCTGGAGGTCGTACTTTTGCAAAGGGCAATTTTAGTGATTTGAGTTTTTTTACTGTACCTCTGTGCCACCTGTTCTTTATGATTTGTAATGAATTGTGTGTGCAAGTTTGAATGAAAGGTGCATAACTTTAGTGCTAAGAAATGGTCATACGTGGCATTGGTAGAGACTTAATTAGCCTTTTTTCTCTCAAAGGAATCAGGCAGTGCTTTTGAAGAGGAGTAGTATTTCTACCACCTTCAATCTTACTAATTATAGGGAAGTGTAACTGTGGAAGCACCCTCATATGCTGTTGTTAAAGCCCATTTTGGCCCCTAATTACTTAGGGGAAGTAGCAGGTAATGCTGAAACAATCAGGATTGCTGTACAGAAGCAGTTTGCTTCTAGTTGCACTAGAATCTGTTAAACACTTTTTCAGGGATGTGGTAGTTACACAAAATCCACAATTGCCCAGCGAGCTCAAATGGACCAAGTTTTAGAGGTAATCAGGTACTGGTTGCATGGTTGTTATGCCACATAGTGTGTCCATCCAGTTACGATTTAGAGCGTGTCATGTCTTCACTTCAAATATTCTTATGTTGGGTGCATATCTTTGCAGTTTTATTAGCATCCAAAATTAGGTTTTCCTGCAGTTGCCATAAATGCACTTCTCTAACTTGAAATTATAAGTGTTAAAATTGATCTGAATTACAACAGGGTGTCAGTTGATGACTCTATTTTCCTGTGCAGTGAGGGAGGGCTGAAAACACAGAAGATGGTATTGATAATAACAAATGGCATGAGGCACATCCTGCTCTTTTTAACACACCTGTGTAGTTAGGGGGACTATTTTTTATTCTAAATACTCTGGGAATGTTTTTGAATGATGTTCTGGGATATTATTTTGAGGCTTAATAAGGCTATCCTAAATCACTTGGTAAGATTTTAAAATGTGTTGGTACTAATGCTTCATAAATTAAGCATATGTGGGCTTTAGATACTTAAATGCTATTTCTGAAAGGGGGGAGAAAAGAGACTCCTAAAGTGATTTAAGTCTTTACCCTTTTCAGTCTGGATTATGCAGAAATTTCTGTAAATATGGGCACTCCAGACTTTAAAGGGTTCCTTCTGTTTTCTTTAAGGATTCTGCCTCAACTGATGATATGTGGTAAAACTGCTCATCTAGCTGTGGAAATCACGTTTCATCCTTCAAATGAAAGTGCACCCCAACCTCAGTGACCCTTCTTAACATCCATCCTCAACCTTGGTTAAAGAAGGGAATATGATGTGTTGGTGAGAGGACTACAGCAGTGCGACATCTAGCCGAGGAACTGATCTTTTTGTAAAACAGACTTCTGTAAACGTGATTTCAAACCGTAATTAATGTTGTAAATCAGACTCCAGCAATTTATGTTGTATGATTTTGTTTTTTGTAAAGTGCAATTGTCTTGTACAAAATGCTCATATTTAATTATGAACTGCTTTAAATCACTATAAAGGTTAGAAGAAATGTTTGGCTTGTGTGATGCAACAATATATATCCCTTTAATTCATGTTGTGGTTTTGGATTGCAAGGAGCAGCAGCCTAGCCAGCTAGGTGTTCAAGAGGTGCTCAAAACTATAAAGACAACTTTTTGTTTTATATGAAAGCTGTCTTGTGGGCAACTTATGAGAAACTGCAGTGTGTGAATTTGCTTGGCGATGGAAACGTAACTAAGAGTAGTGAACATTCTTCAGCAAACATGAATCCATTTCTTGGATGCATTCCTGCTCTCACATTGAGTTAAAGGGAGTTCTGATTTTGACTTCAGTGGGAGTTAAATCATGCCCCATTAATAGTATCGTGTTACATACATACCTTGGGATTAGAATGCCTTGACTCTCTGCACCTCTTTTTTTCATTAACCCTTACCTGAAACTACTAATCACTGAGCATGAACAGGCAGCTTTCTACACACAGTAGGAGTCTGCAGCATTTTTACAATCCTGATTGGCTGGGTCTGCTGCTGTTCCAAGTAAAATAACTTTGAATTCCATTTTATCAATAAAGCTTGATTTAACAAACAAGAAATTTATCCATAAATGTGTAATTCCTTTTTTCCTGCCTTTTAAAATGTCAGTGCCATTGTAGATGATATTTTACTTGTGGAAGAATATTTTTTTAATTGGTAGCCCATTTTTAAAATGGGAAGGATTTTGATTATTGCCCAAGACATAGCCATATGCTAAAGGATGATGTGGGATTAATCCATTACCCTATTTTTTAGAAGCGTGGGGGTTTTCAGGCTTTTTGGTGGTTTATTTGGGTTTTTTCTCCCCACTGAAGGTGTGCATTGGTTTGAATTTGCCTGCTGTTTGATAAAAACACATTTGTCAAAGCCTGACAATCTTTAACATTTTATGGTGTGTGTTTTTAATTGACCCACTTAGAATGAGAGACTAGTGGTTAAACAGTACTTGTGATTTGAGATATAGCATGTTGACAATATTTAACTGTTCGTTGTTTAAAATTCTAATTTAAAATTTTATAAGATAATAAACTAATTTGATTTAAGCTTAGCTTTTTCCCATTAAGCATACAAAAACTAAGTTTTTGAGTCAGTCGTGTTTGCAAAACTGCTGTTTTGTGCACCTTGTATTGTCTTTTTGGTTGAGAATATTGTATTTAGTATGTAGTTTACTCATTTAGTAGGCAGATTCCCAAAAAGGAAAATCAGTAAAACAAGTAGATTGTAACATTTACTGCAGTTAAACAGAATCAGAACTTGGTGTATAATTACTTTTTTGATAGGAAAATGTAGTACAATGCATTTTGCTATATTTGTCTTTCCCTAACTTTGAAATATACATATTTGTATATATAGCCTTAAAACTAATGCAGAGTTAGGGAACACTGAACAGTGAAAAAGTAACTTACAGTGTCTTGGAACTTAGTATATACCAGCAAACTTTTCTTTTATCCCTCTTGTCTATGTGGGGTGCTTAAACGTAACTTCATTGTATTCAGTTTGTAATCTGTTCAAGCATGAATGAAGAAAACATGAGCACTATTTGTATTTATAAATTTATAGCATTTTTTGCTTAAAGAACCAGTTCCTTACCTACCTATGAATAAATGCTTAAAATGTCTAATTTTGTTGTAGAGTGCAAAACTACAATAATGTTAACTTATAGCTTCACAGGCACCTAATTAACAAGCATATTTGATAATACATGGTGTATTAGTGCAAAACGCTAAACTTAATTTAGGACTAGGCAGATAAAGTTCTGTCCTTTTTACGTAGAGACTGAAGTTTAGTTTTGGAAACTGCAAAACTTTGAACTGGACTGTGGAACCTTTGAGTTTTAGACTAAAATCTGAAGGAAAACTGTGGTGTGAAAAGCCATACTTCAAACAATAATCACCTAAACTGTCTCAGTGACAAATGTTGTATTTGAAGCCTCTTCTTGGAGGTCTCCTAAAGGTTAGAAAGAAAATAATTCTGCTATTGCTACAGGCGATGTTACTTGGTTTGAGGGTAGCAGAAGAAAGCCCGTTTCAGGCCTTTCTCTCTCCCACCTATGTTCAGCATTTTGTTAGGTCAGAGCACTGAATCTACTATGTATGCATAAACACTGCCATTTTAGATACAGATTTTGATTAAAAATGTACGGATTAAGTATATCAGGTATCCTAGAAAAGAGGCAAGCTGTACTTTTCACTGCTCTGAAAAGGAAAAGGCACTTTTGCACCTTTGTGCATCTAGTTCTTGCACCAGAAACTTTTTTTAAATACTAAAAACATTAGCACCTCAGGGGCAAGGCAGCGATTTTTTTGAAGTATTGTGTGCTATTTATTTCCCTCTTGGAAAAAGATTCCTGTGTGACAAAAATGAAATTTGTGTGATGTTAAAAGATGTATTTTTAAATACATGTTCAAATAGGATGGTCCCAATTTGCTTGTTTTTAAAAGGAAATTACATTTGTAAAGCTACTCTGCTTCGTATGCCATGCAGCTTTGTTTTCCCTCTACATATGACAGCTTCACTGGCTTCAGTTTCTGTGTGTTTTGTTATAGTCAGATTAAATGTTTCACTGATCATTCTGGGAGAATACCTGTACTGCTTTATAGACAACGGTTTTAAATAATTCTCACTAATTCAGCATTGAAATATGTTCAAGACAGAAGCTTCTAAAAATGTTTTTTAAAACCAATATTGGATTAACTAAATGTAATTACATTAAGTAGGGTCCTAGATTTGCAAGGCTTTGTAAATTGGTTGTGTCAGTAGAGTCCCTTTGACATGTGATGGGGCATAAATGTGCAGGTCCAGTGCAAATTATGAAGCCAGGGCCTTTCAGCTGGTACCACAAAGACCTCGATGCATGGTCATCACTCATTTTAATCTTCCAGCAGAAGTCAAAATTGGAGAAAGGAATTTCATATGCTTGTTGTTAAACTACACTGAACTGTGGTAGTCCTAGGTTGTGTCATACTAGCAAGGTGCCTGATGAATATTAAGCAGCAGATGAGTTAACGGTAGCGCTTACCTTAATAGTTCATGCAGATGCTAAAGCAAATAATTTCAACATGTACTTATGATAAACTGACTTTAATGTCCATTAAGTTATTTGTTGCAAAGCTGGTACTATTTTAACTGTAGGTTAAAATCAGAGCCATTTTGCTCAGTTCAAGAATTGGATGCTTGAAATGGTGATTTAACAAAATTGGGTAACAGTTTTCCCTTTCAGTTGATTCCCTGATAAGAATCCCATCTTAATTTGATACACTGGGATAGGATAGACTTCCTATTGCATTTCATTTTTTAGTAATTTATGAACTAAGGATATGGTTTCATGATCAGCTTATAATGAAGATTAAACTATTGCTCAGTTTTCCCCTTCTGGCCTTTTTGTGGCACTACTCATGCTTATGTGGCCGTGCAGTTGGGAGAAAGGCAAAAATCTGTACTCTTCAGATGGGTAAATTGATAATCCAGGCACTGGATGGTGGTCTGAGGGCAAGATGCAGGGTTGGGGAGACAGGACTGAGAGCAAAGGAAAGGTTGCACCAGCCCTTCTGCCACAGTTTGGGAATCCACACCTTAAAAGCAGATAAGTGATTGACCTGTACAGGGAGTATCAAAGCCTTTGCAGACCTTTTTTCACTCTATACTCAAGACAAATATTTTGCATTCATAAACATTCTTTTTCTTAAAATTGGAATCATAAGACTGGTTTTAATGTCATCTTGTGTATGAGTTCCATGCTGACAAACTTATTTTCTGTTTGTTTTCTCTAGACATAAGTACCTCTGTCCTGTGGGATAGACAGCATGGCTGCCACAAGGTTAATGATATGGTTGTTACAGTTTACCTTGGTTCAATGTACATCAGGATTTCATCATTCCGAGATGTTCACCTTCAGCTCCACCTGCCCCTTCTTGAATTGCTTTTATACACAAATTACTTGTTATATTTAAACTTGGCCGTGTCTGAAATGGGCTAACCATTAGTAAAATGTTATCCTTTTCCTCATCGTTTGGCAAATATGGTATTTTAATATAAACCTGATGTACCTTGTATAGGTTCAGAAATGGCAAAACTTTGTTAGAGCTACAGAACTGTACTTGATATTTCATGTAGAAAACAGATCTGTTACTCTGTGCCAAGCTTCATGAGGTGTGGAAATAACATCTCCTGGGTAACTAGTGTAGCTCCTTGTTCCTACCACTACGGTGTGTCTGAGGTGATATATCCTGAGCTAGTATATACTGTATAATATATATATACAAATTATAAAATACAATAATATACTGAGCCAGTATATAATACTAGGACAGGGTCTAGCAGTAGAGTCTGCTTGGCTGGACACGTTTTTTAACTCTTTAAATAGTAAAAAGAGGCTCCACACATGAATTTCTAGGATGCTGCAGTGCATAAAATGAAAGTGATTGCTGCTGTAAGCTGTAGAAATGGAGCAAAAGTTAACAGGCGCTAAGTACTTTTGACTGACCTGTCTGAAATACTGATCAGAGAATCCGATCTGTTGGTGAGCTCTTTCTGAGCTATCTCTGTGGTGTGCTTGCAGTCTGCAGGTGTCTGTGGACACAGGCATGCACCTTCTGAAGTACTCTGAGCCTTATTTTGCTTAGTAATGCTGCTTCATAAATGAGGTAGCAGTCACATGGGCCATGGCATTTGTTCACAGAAATTCAGGAAGCTGTAGGAAAACTTAGCTTGTCTTTATTCTCATGGACCACTAAATCCTTTGGAGGAATATACAACATGCTAGAAGTTGAGTTTACGTTATTTATCACTGATGGTTTATTTCCAGAAAAATGTGCAAATAATTCTGCTATTTACTTAATATGTGGAAAAATGTCTGGAGCTTTAATCTCCTGTGACTGTGTCAGAGTTGTTGACCTACAGTGACCTAGGCTGTATGCATATTCCTTGCTTTATGTGTTTGGCTTTCCTCTGAGCAGGATTAAACCAGATATCCTCATGTAGATGCCCTTCTATAGTCTTTGCTTCCAAGCTAAGAGAACAGGAGTGTTATATAGTGTCTTAGGAAGGGATTTTGGGGAGGCCTGCTTTAAATGCAGCAGTGACAAAACCCCGAATCATTGTAACCCCAAAATTTGGGGAAGTGGGCTTAACATTAAAAATGCCTTTTATAAAATTAATAGTTCTATTCTGAAAGTGTCAAAACTTCAGCAGAGGTGGAATGACAGGTCTGATTCCTAGAGTATATATATTGGCTTATGCCTGGCCAGATTTTCACACTTAACTTGTACTGATTCCTGCCTAAATCCTTTTTAAAATATCACTCTCTACTTTCCCCCTCTCCCCCCTCCCCCCCCCCCCCCAAAAAAAAAAAAAAAGAGAAATCTACTTGAGAAGAAAAATGAGAAAACAGACTGGCTGGTCACAAAATATTCTATACTTCTGTCAGTGCAGTGCAGTACAGTACAGTCAGTGCAGTTCTGTATGACCGTAAGACTAAGGCCCACAGCTTAATTTCACATGCATTACTGAATTCAACCCAATATGAGCAATGGAAGTACTGAAGAGGCAATTTCATTTTCAGGGTGAAGCACAGTATTTTTTTCCAAACAGGGAAAAAATCAAATTAAGATATTTTCCACAGAAAAATATCTTAATTTCCACAGAAAATATCTTAATTGGGAAAATTGGGCACATACTTAACTTTGCATCCCACTGACATTGATGGAGCCTCACTCACAATATATAGTTTGCACATGTATTGTTGGAGCCTTAACTGTCCCACTTTGGAATGAAAACAAAATGTAATCTTTATTCAGTTTAGGTTTTGGAAAAGCTTTTCAAAGCCAAAGTGAAGAAGGTGGTAATGTTAAAGCAGAGTATTAGGTTGATTGGAGATGCATTTTAAAGAATTACGAAATTATTAAGTCTGCATTTTTTTTCTTGTAAAAGGTCAAAAGGACATGGTGTAAGAGGTTTGGTCTTTGATGTAGTGCTTTTAGCTGTAAAGAATAAATAAAAGGATGAAATACAAACTTGAGTTATCCAGGATAGAAAAACAATGAGACCCTAAAAATCTAGGAATAAAGGTGCTGAATTTCCATAGCATTATTTCCATGTCCAATGATGGACCTACTGAAGGGATCTTTGTTGATATTTTTAGGGGGACTTTTTATTCTTGCTGAGTGTTTGAAGCTAGACTGATAACGTCTGCTGCAATTTGAGATTTCCGGACTCTTAAATTGGAATCTGGGCATTATTCAACAGAGTCCCTAGTACACAAGATGTTGCAGTACCTGTTAGCATGTGTTCTGCAGGTTAATACCATGCAACAGTTTGGTGCTGGAAGATGGGATTTCCTATCCTGCGTTTTATCGCTGATGGTGTGATTTGCAATGACTTCGAGTACAAGAGTTAAGTTGTATTTATTAACTGGATCTCTTTGGTGCCAGGAATCTAGTTTTTTGGAGTAAGTGCTGAATTATGCAAATGTCCTTGGCAAATTGTGCTGGGTAGTTCACTACTCGGAAAACTAAATTACTAGCAGCGAAGGGTTAATACAAGATGAAAGCCTCAATTTTCCTAGCCAGGGAATACTGGATATTTGAAAAGTGTGAGGTTTGATTTCCAGGGTGGCTGCTTTATAAATCTTTCGAAGCAGAGATCCTGGTTTCCAGCATCTGTCTTGTTACTACGACCATGTACGAACATGCTGAATTAGAGAGTGTTCACCTGTCTTCTCACAGAATTGACTCCACATCCTATCATTAGAGTCTCGTTTGTAGTGACATGCTGTGCCTGTCTTTTTAGAAAATTCATGACCTCTTTGTATCTATTTTGTGGAAAGTGTAACTATTTTCATTGATGACCTGTATAAATGTGTTACGAATTGAGAGATTTAAGCTTGAAAAGCATGTTTGCAGATTACACAGCTTCGTTATGGAATTTATAAATTTAACAGAGTAATATACAAGAGCATAACTATTTTCCTTAAGTAAAATGTATAACAATATATAATAAATTATTCTCCACGTAGTTCACCCACTATTTACAGTTTTACACAATTCAAACTGTGTGTTTACAGAAAGTTCAATAAATGTATATTTTGTACTATGTACAGATTCCTGGTCCCAAAGAAAATGTGTGAACTTAGTTTCTAACTTTTGAGATTGTACCTTTTTTCTTTTTTTTCTTTTTTCTTTTTTTCTTTTTTTTTTTTTTTTGGTTTGGAATCAGTTGAACAAACTGCGTTATGCCTGTCAATGGTGGAGGCTTGCGTTGGAGAAAATGGGAATTGGAAATATTTCTAAATCTACAAAAGTGATTCCACCAAATAAAACGGGCAATTACATCATGTGTGTGTATTTGACTGGTATGCTATAAACCATTTTCACACCTGTTTTACCATCACTAATTTCCAAACTCAGTCAGGCCTCCTTCAGTTTTCTGATTCAAGTTAGTTATATTAAAATGAAATATTGAGAGCTTATTTTGATCATTTTTAATTACAGTGATCAAAATTCCCCTTTTCATTATTTTTTCCCTTAAGCGTTGAAATTCCAAGGTAATGCAGCATGCACTTGGCTCCAGCCAT